CTGGGGGCGCAGGGGCCTGGGCAGGGAGGCTGGTGCTGGGCGCAGGCAGGCCCCGGCGTGGCGCCCACCTTGAACCACATGATGTCGGGCAGCGGCTTCCCCTCCACGACCACGGCAAAGCGCGGCGTCTCGCCTGTGCCCACGTCGATGTCCTCCATGATGGACTCGAAGCGCGGAGCCTCTGCAAGACCCGGGGCCCTCGAGCATGTGGCCACCCCTCCCACTTGCCCTCTGGCCCCGCCCCACCATAGGAGGGGCGTGGCCTGCATGTCCAGGCCCCGCCCCCTCCGGCCCCCGTACCTGCCAGCTCGAGGGCGATGGAGCAGGTGTCGGCGCCGTGCGGGTTGCAGACCTCGCAGGCCAGCTCCCCGGCATCGGCCCGGCCCACCCGGAAGATGCGCAGGCTGTGCTGGTCGTCGTCCGGCATGCTCAGCTCGTACGCCCCGTCCTGCTCGCCCAGCACTGCCTCGCCCCTGCGCCCACACGGTGCCATGAGCCTGGCGCTGGAGCCGCCCGTGGCAGCTTAGCCCAGCCCTGCCCCGTTGCCTGCAGCGCCCCCAGCCAGGGGCACCCACCTCCTCCAGGTGACCGTGGCCTCCACGTGGTTGAGGGTGACGGTGACAGCGGCTGGCTGCCCCTCCACCAGGAACACCACGTCTGGCTTGTCCAGGATCACTGGCGCCTCCTCCAAGTAGGGGCCTGCGGCACAGCCCCCAGCCCCGCCGTCACCAAGGCAGCGCGGCTCCCACGACGGGCAGCAGGGCTGGTGACGTGGGCAAGACCCTAGCCACGCTGCCCCGGCCGTGCTAGACCCCTGCCACCGTGCTTCCTCAAGCCCGTCCTCACCGCGGTCCAGCAGCTGCACAGGTCCGGCGGGCGGTGATGGCTTGCTGGTGGCCTTGGGGGTGGCGGTGATGACGCGGAAGAGGTAGAGAGCCCCCTTGGTGAGCGCGTGCACCGTGTAGGCCGTGTCCCGCACACCCGTGGCAAAGACGGTCCAGTGGCTGGTGCCCACCACCTGCTGCTGGATGGTGTAGGTCACGGTGGCTGGGTCTGCAGCACGGGGCGGCGGTCAGCGCGGGGTTAACCAGCCCCCGGGGGCTGCCCCGATAATGTCTCCATCCCTCCCCTGACTCACCGATGGCCGAATCCAGCCAGCGGGGTTTGTTCCAGGTGAGCGTGATGGCCTTGCCGGTCACCGCGGCCACGGTGGGGGGGCCATCGGGAGGTGTCGGCACCACGTCTGCAGGACACGGGTGGGCACAGGCATGGGTGCGGGACTGGGCAGGTGCCAGCCGCCGTCTGGGGCCGGGCAGCCGGTGCCAGGTCCAGCCACGTGTCAGGGATCACGGGGTTGGTGCCAGCGCCGGGGGCTGTGTGCCCCCAGGAGCTGAGTGGTGGCGGGTGCTGCCCATGGCTGTGGCATGGGGGGGTCCTTACCCGTGACGTAGAGGTGAGCATAGCACGTGGCCTTGCCGACCTTGTTGGCGATGACGCTCTTGTAGACGCCGGCGTGTGCGTGGGTGATGGCCGCGAACACCAGGCGGTGGACGTCCTTGACTGGGGGGGCAGAGAAGGGGGTTCAAACCCTGGGAGGGGACTGCTGTGGCACCGCTGTCCCCAGAAGCCAATGGGATGGAGGAAGCAGCAGTGCATGCTGGGATAGCAAGGCAGGGGTGCAACGAGCCAAGCATGACACCGGGGGCATGCAGCTGTTGCAGGCGCTGCGGGCAGGGCAGTAGCCGCTGACCCAGTCCCACCCGGGGACGGCGGGCCCGGGGAAGCCCACGGGCCCTGGGTGTGCCATGGCGGCAGGGCCGGGCGCCGCACGTCAGGCGCGGGGCGCGGGGGGACCCTACACTGCGTCATGCGGCGGTCGTCGGCGCTGCGGAGCCGGGCGCCGTTGTGGAACCAGGCGATGGTGGGGTAGGGCAGCCCGACCACCTGGCACTCCAGCACGGCCTCCTTGCCCTCCACCACGTCCAGGTCCTGCAGTGGCCGCAGGAAGTCGGGCATGGTGAAGCGCTCGGCCTCTGTCTCCACCTGCTCCGGCTCCTCGGGGATGGACGGCATCTTCTCCAGCTTGGAGCTGCAAGACCCGTGTGCCCACTGCTTAGCCAGCACACATGGCACCCCCGCGTGGCTCCTCCAGTGCTGCCACCCTGCGCCACTGGCACCCGGGGGGCAGGGGAGACACCCAGGCAGAGCAGCTCTCCTGGGCCCTGCTCCAGCCCCTGGAGGTGCCCGGCTCCGGCAGGGGTGGAGGCCGTGGCA